CCCAAATAAAACAACTTTTGCCCTAAAATATTTTTTCATCAGTGCATTATTTTAGAAATATTCACCTCGGAAGTTTTTAAATGAACACACGGTATTACCAAAATAGATATGAAGAAATGAAATTCCAGCATAAAGACAGTTGACAGAATGATTTACGCTGCGACTACTACCTACACAATAATCACTGCTGGTAAGAACCACATTAAAATATTTTATATACATATATAGGGTGTCCCATTTTATCTTAGACACTGCAATATCTCGAAAACAAGGAGTTTTTGGAAAAAATGTTTGAGACAAAAGTTGTCGGGTTCATAGGGGGCCATGTAGTAAGATATTTGAAGTTTTGGCTTGGGGCCTATGTTGGGCCCTGTGAGACCCAAGTCCATTTATTTAAATGAAAACCCCTATTTTTTATTGCAGATTTGTGATGTATGGAAAAAAAAGTTCTGTTCTTGATTATTTTTCGATAAACCCTCTGCAAAAGACGCAAAAGGTCCTCGAAGTTCAACTTTGAAATACGTTACAAATTCTAGTTATTTGTTAGTGATAATGGTAATATGGACTGGCGATTTGATAATCTAAATTAATGTTGGGCCTCGCGACTGTTTTGGACTCAATGGAGCCCAAAATTCATTAAACAATTTTCAAATTCATATTAAAAACATTTAAAAAAATCAAAATCCTGGCGCGTCTTGAGGTCAATCATGCACGAATTATATTTGTTATAGACATCTTTTTTTGTTTTCCACCGATCTCTTATCGTACAAAGATTTGTGAAAAGTATACATATTGTGCAATTAGGGAGAAAAAGTGGAAAAACAAACACCCCGGAATCGTGAAAGGCAAGGGGACTCACAAAAAACAATCAACCTGAAATTGTAATTTCTGACGTCAGATTTGAAACCAGCGAACTCAACAACCCCCTTATACCAGGTTTCATATAAATTATGTAAAGTTTAGAATTTTTGATCACCGTATTGAATTCGCCATTCTAAAGTTTTAATTTTTAATTTCAAATTCGAAATCAAAGACTTCAACAACCGTCTTATAACAAGTTTCATACAAATCAGACGAAATCTTGACTTTTGGCCAGTTTTTTTAGCTGCTATCGGACTGTGTATTGGCTGGGTCGTTAATTGATCTTACCTTAATTGGCAGGATTAATATCCTGTAACTTGAATTTAGTCAGATTATCAAATCGTCAGTCCATGTTACTATTATCACTAACAAAACAAGCCGCAAATTGAAACTTGCAATTTGCTTCATCCGAATCGTAGTTAGTGTGCGAGGTCCCTATACTTATGAGGAAGCATTTACATTTTTTTTAATCTTTGGCTTCCTCATAGATGAATTTTCATTTACTACAGAACAGCAAAATTTCAAATTGATATAAAATTAGATCCGCTTGGTCGATCTTTGCTAAATTTCATATGTATTACGACTAGACGATATTTCATACTTGCAAAGAATTGCGGTTTGATTCGTTGAAGAAAGCGCTAGTTACAGGGATAAAGTTGACTTTTCGAAAAATTCAAAATATCAAAATCAAAACTTCTCGATGGATTCGGCCCAAATGCAATATCAACCAACCTTGGATACAAACCTCTTCATCGAGAACTATTTAGACGAGTATCACAAAATGTGCGATCGCTAGAGTGGTAACGTCCTTTTTTTGGGAACTTAAAAATGACATAAAATCCGAACTGCAGCTTGAATCATGACGAATTATAATCAATGAAGGGGTTATAGAGCTGCACGTGCCTGCGAAATTTGAGGCTGTAGCTAAAACCGTTCTCGAGTTATACACGTTTGAATTTTAGGAGGCCATTCCATACGCACACTCGCACATACACACACATACACACACATCCGGACATTTTCTCCAAATGTGTTTTCTTGACGTTTTGATACAATCTGAACATGATGATATAAAAATCTCGAAAGAAAAAATTGCCACCGTCACATAGCTTTCTCTATGAGGAAGCAATACGCCTCTTGTTTCTTGTTTCCAATAGGCATGTCTTCGGCGACGTCATCCTGCACGAAGCCACCGAGAAACAAAAGCGAGGGAAGAAAACTCAGAGTTCGTAGGTGCCTACGTTTCTCTTGACGCCTCCCTCTGATTGGTCAACTTTGACCTGCTTCCATTTAAAAACTATGACCTTCCGGACAAAAAGAAGGTCATTTTCGTGATCAGTGAAGCCTCCCGAACACCGCCATACCCACCTGGTCAGGTAGTTTCGGAACACCCTGTATATACGAGCGATTCCATCAGACTTCAGCCACCCGTATTTTTATTTGCTGTGCTACGTGAATCGATCATTTTTTATTTTGAACACAGATATCCCGGAGATGGTAAATCGTATTAAAAATTATACAAACTGAAAGTTTTGTGTTTTTTTAGTGTCTACGATAAAAACATATTTTAAACATTTTTTGAGTAATCTAAACCTGTTTTCAAAAAAAAAGAAATACTGAAAATATGTTTTCCTGACCAAAGGAAACGGTTACGGAATTTTGTTAATATTCTGTAGACAGAATATGAATTTTGTGCAAAATTACAAATTGGGACATCCAAAATTACAACATAAGACATTTTTTTAATTTATAAGAACACTAATTTCTGTTTAAAATCTTAAACAAAAATAAATAAATAACTTGTAATAAATTTAAAAAAAAAAGTAATGCGGGCTTTAAGCTTATAACCCTAAAGAAAGTTTTTTAATTTATAAGAACACTAATTTTCGTTTTTCTGATTAATTTATCTCTCTGTATTTTTTAGGGGTGAGACTGTCTTTAGGGTTATAAGCATTACTTTTTTTTTAAATTTATTAGAATTTATTTATTTATTTTTGTTTAAGATTTTAAACAAAAATTAGTGTTTTTATAAATTAAAAAAATGTCTTATGTTGTAATTTTGGATGTCCGAATTTGTAATTTTGCACAAAATTCGTATTCTGTCTACAGAATTTTTAAAAAATTCCGTAACACCGATATCGATGGCGCTTTGGTCAGGAAAACCCATTTTGTGTATTTCTTTTTTTTGAAAACAGGTTTAAATTATTAAAAAAAATTTTTTAATGTTTTTTTATTGTAGATACTAAAAAACAAAAAACTATTTTTTATAATTTTTTGATACGATGCACTGTCTACGGGATATGTGTGTTCAAAATAAAAACGTTCGAATCCACGTAGCACAGCAAATAAAATACGGGTGGCTGAAATCTGATGGAATCGCTCATATATGTATAGAAAATTTACTTCTACTGAAAAAATACGGGAAATAGATGTTATATCAATATGAAATATGATGTCGGTCATAAATACTGTAACAATGATACACCTGTTCTAACAAACGAACCACACTCTATTTATTCAGTAACCTATTGTTATGTGATATTTACTTACCCAGCCAAAACCTTTGTACGCTTGGAGTAGCAATCATCTAATAATCGTAGAAACGCTATTATAGAGTGAAAAGTGTCCACTAATCATGGTATAATAATGAAAACAACAATGTGTACAATTGAAGAACATAGGATATAGTATATAAGAAATCTATAGAAAGACATGGATATTTGATACCCAGAGACGGAAAGAAAGCCAATCGTAAAAGACGAAACTTGCAGAGTCCCACTATCCGGTAGAATAAGCCCCATTTGGCAGAAGCAAAGAGGTAATAGAAGGAGGGGGTTCACCTCATATATGCTGCATCTGGCCACGCACGCTCTACAACCACTTCCTCGTTAGTCGGTGGAAGATAGCGTCAAGAGTAAAAAAAGTACCGGAAAAATAATTTTCTGTGCGGTCACAAGCGGTGCGACACCATACGTATAAAACAATCTCCTACGAAGTACAACGAATATTTTAATACAACAAAAGTTATTATCATGAAAATATCCGCGAATACCTGGTGTGTCCTTCTTGGTGTTTTGCTTGTTTTTTGCACTGTGCATGCAGATAAAGTCGGCAGTGCTGCTGACTGTCTCCTTCAGGAAAACAGCCTTTTTTGTCTCAAAGAAAAAGTATCCATAGAACTTGATAAAATTGAAACAGAAGTGTCAGGCAGAAAGAACGAGATTCCTATCAGCAAGGTTATCGAAGAAGCTGGAAGTCTTGTGAGTGATGGAGTTCAGGTTGCTCTTGGGGTTGATGATGCCACTGATGACTTCATTGAGGACAGTGAAGAACAGCAAGAGGAAACTCGTGGTATTGGTAAGAATCATTCCTAGGATTTATAACTATGGACACGTAATCCTTTAGACAAAACATTACGCAATTTCTACTTGTTTTATTCACATAATCTTCATCTTAGATCTTATAGTGAATTGTGCGCGATAGCAATAACCTCATTATACTCTTTATTTGTTAGGCTCTTGAGGCATAAAGATATCCTAATTATAACAGGAAATGCATAAAATAATAATAAATATGTAACTGGCATACGCTACTCAAGTTTTTAATTTTTTAATTATTTGTTAACATTGGAATATTTTGACGGCACAACTTCTCCTCAGGTAATAATTACTTATACTAAGCATACTTACTGCTTTTATGTCAGTAAAAAAAAGAAAATTATTAATATTAACCGCGTAAATAATTAAAAAATATTATTAAAATTGTTGACCAGGAATTGATTGTACCCACGTTGTAGATATCTTCATTACATCGATTAGTAAATTATAACTACCTCTCCAGGTAGGTATAGTAAAAATTCCACTGGTCCATAATCGAGATATGGAACCAGGGTGAGGTTAGGGTGACGGTTCAAGGTTTCTGGGTTAGCAGGCCCCAAAGTTTGCCGGTTCACATGATAATCCTTAGGTCGAACTCACCTGCTCGCATGCTCGCTTAATTCAGAAGACGAACTTAAATCATTTTCCTTTTACAGTATTGAAGATCGGAAAAAACACTAACGTGTTTAGTAATACCGTAATATGTCACTCGGAAGATATGATTATCGCTGACGATGCGTGAAAGAAAGTTACTATTAATTAAACCAATAATTGAATATAATTCATTCCATTTAAAATTTGTCTACCTTTATGGAAGTAAATTTTTTTTTTACTTTTCGTAGAGTTAATACCCGAACCGCAATCTGCTAAAAAAAAGTTTGTATTTACATACATTTTATTTAATCTGCTTTAATAATAATTAAAAAATTATAACAAACGTCCAGTTTAAAAATTTTCGATTACATATCTAGAAGGTGGATAAACTTTTATTAGCGTAATATGAAACTGTCCGAGATGATTCTTTTTCATTTTAATTTTGTATTTCTAATAATGATATAAATTGCGTTCTAGCATATGGAATAACTTAGATAGCCAAAGAGAGAGACAGAGAGAGAGAGAGAGAGAGAGAGAGAGAGAGAGAGACCTCTTTTAGTCCCACGATGAAAGTTCATTCGTTTTATGTGTCATACTGAGCATAAAAATTCATCAGAGAAAAATCCAGCGCGCGAACCCATACGTGTACTTTATAACGGTGAACTGTGAGTCGTATATAGGATACTCTATAGAAAAGTATGTCACGTTTATTATGAACATTATTAGGAATTAACGCACATTCTGAATAAAACGTACTTTTAAGTCACATAAAAGTTATTAATGAAAAACGTTCTTTGTTTCAGAAGAGGCACGCAAAAAGAAATTTGGCAAAAAGAAGGCTAAAAAAGGCTTACAAAAGGTTCTAATGGTCGCCATGTTGATTAAAAGCAAATTGAGTTTGCTTCTGCAGCTGATATCAACCCACCTTCAGGTCAAGTTTTTCGTTTTGGCTGTAATCAGCCTTCTTCTCAACTTAGCACGATTCTGGATTGATTTGAAGAAGACGCACAGTCCTAATAAAGTCATCTATTATGAACATGCTCAACATCAACATCACTATGACCACGAAGATGATCACGGCGGTTATTGGGGAAGAGCATCAATTGAGTCGCCAGATGATTTAGCTTACAAAGCTCATATACCTGAGCATTAATTATTTTCCTTTAAATTAACTGATGCACGAGTTTTCATTTAATTCTTGTTTTACTCACACGAAATTATTTATTTATTTATTCATTAATATATTTATCTTTGCGAAACCGATATTGTCATTCTATTACACGCATTAAAATTCATATCCTCATCTTAAACTTGTCATAATACGGTAGAAAGTTGCGTGATAAAATTCTGTCTTTATAATTATTTCTTGTTATTATTCCGTGGGTGACATTGAATCAATTAGAATTCCCGTTAGGTCAATTTCTACGTGATACTATACTGGCGATAAACGAAGCGTCCTATGACGTATGCATTGATTATTAGAAGAATTAGAAGTAATTTTTGCAAATCTTTTTTCCCCTTTAATAATATCTGAATCTGATGTAATTTGTGCAGACTAAAAATTCGTCATAGAGATTTATCCAAATTTAATTTATTCATATTTTGCGTTAATTAAAATATATTGTTTTTTTTATAAAAAATAAGACCTTTTTCATAATTCCTTTCCTACCCAAATAATTGAGTAGCTCAGTATTATACATATACTGTATTCATTTTCAATACCTCTTATTATCCCGAGATTAGCAACGGGGTTTTTGATTATCAACAAAACGGATCTGAACTATATTACCAAGTAAACCACACACGAGATGACGAAAAAACAGGTAGACCACATACAACAATGTTAACCACGCAAATAATAATTTCGAATACCTTAAAATTTGAAATGATCACAGGAATATTGAAGAATTCTGAACCATGGTTTTTGCGTAGGAATATTTGGGCATCGATAGCGATTATTTGGACTGCTAGGGTATACGACGATACTTCAGTTCATAATCATAATCATAGTAAATGGCAATCAGAGTTATAAAAGTATAAGAAATAATGATTCGAAGTACCTAAACACTTCAAACGGTGATTGGAATATTTTTTTAATCAAGGCCAACGATCAAAAGTATCCAGACATCCAGAGGGAAGATGTTTTGGCACACGGAATAATTATTTGGAGTATCAGTATAATAAAAAAAAAGGATAATATGGGTATAAATAATAGCAGCCGGCAGGATATTCAGGAACATCTGATGTGGGGAGATTACGGTTTCCGGAACGCCAAGTTTTGACGGTGGATTCAGCATCTCTCAACTAAGGCAAACAAATGTTGAAGAGTAATAAAAGTTTATATTGGCATTATTTTGGGTTTACCCGTCCGACCTAACAATGGATCACCTTGTGTGATGGGCCACACAGAGTTTTGTGGCGTGCAGTGAACTTGATGGTCTTCTGTATAAAAAGACGGACCTTTATCCAACAATTATTATATCTCGAAAAATAATGACAATATCAATTTTTACCACACGTGAATTTTGATCCAGTTCGATCCATAGATGTTAAATATTATACATAGTTAAACTTTTGTTTCAATCACAATTATTAACTACAACCAACATATACGATTTATTTACCAAAAAAGTTTGATACCTCACAAAATAATGTAAATATCGACTTTTATCACTATTTCACTTTCATTCACCTTCATTCATACATATTAAATTCAGCGTCAAAGCTTGGGGCTCCGGAAACCGTAACCTTGCCAACATTTGGATGTAAAGAACAATAAAACGAACCTGACTATAGATATCGGGAATGATAGTCTGGAATACTTGGACGTTGGAACGGTGAGTCGGGATATTTTTTAATTTTTTAGAAATTTGTTGTGAGCGCAATTTATCACGAGATACTGCCAGAAACTAGTATTATTCGTAAACGATGCGAATTGCCATCAGAAATATTTTACGATTACAAAATGTTGACAGATGTCAAAATCGGCCCAACAGCAGTCCAGATTCAATTCCATCACCCGCCACAATAACAAAAATTTGTTTCTCTTCCTTTACGCATAAGCAATATTGATAGCATAAACAAAAGATTTTTACATTAAAAAAAATAAATTACTGATCAGTTTGAGAGAAAACAATTGCCGAGGGCGAGCGAGCGAATCAAAGAAGTTCGAACTGCTGCCGAATAAACTCCAATGAAGATTATTATATATAATTATATTATATTATATATTATGTATAATGCAAATTATTATGTATAGAATAGAATAAAATAGAATAAATAGATAGTATTGAGATTCCATGAAACATATAATAAAAAGAGACGAAAAGTTTGTACACAATCGGAAATAACATATGCCCTTTTATGTTAAATGTCTGCTTACGAGAAAATCTTTGTATTCTTGCGCATTGCTTATGCAATGACGCGTCTTGAATTATTAAGACGTCCAATAAGATACAGGCTGTTCACCTTGTCTTTACGTTGTGGTGGGAAATAATGCTTGAAATTTATACACCGATGATAACGACGATAAAAATTATGAATAGTCGTTATACATATATACAATAGAATTTTGTTTTAATTTGCAATAATCCTTATGAAAATGCCAGTTTAGTAATTATGTAACTTATACAAATGTTCGATAAGGATATTGCATCAATTCCGTATAATTTACGTTTTTCGTCTTAGGTAGGAAATAATGAGTTTTTTTAGAAATATTCGAAATGTTGCAGATATTCTGATTTTTCAATTAATAAATCTTTTGAAGAGCTTTTTTGGATGGAATTTTATGTTTGTAAGATAGTAGTAATATGTGAAGAAATTTTAATCAGTGAGTTTTAATGAAATGAAACTTTTCTAAAAATCATTGAAAAAAACTCATTCTGAATTTTCCTTATATATGAAATTATATTTTCTCTGACAATTTTTAGTAATAAAGAAATTCATAAACTATCAGATAAACTTAATTTTGTCAGACAGTTCAGAGTAGTCATTTACATCTAACATAAGTGAATATCAAAGACTTTCTTTAAGAAAGTCGAATAATAAGGAACATCGGAAAAATTCATTTTTGACAAATTTAAGATATATAAGGTGTTAAGGTGTTAATTAAAATTGAAGATTAACATTGACATGAAAATATTTCTTTCAGTGACATGTCTTTGAACGAGGTTTCAGTATTATTGACCATCTATTTACAGAGATATGTGAAATTAAAATAGTGAAAATTTCACTATATAAATATACTTTATATGTTAAAACAGCTATATTCTTTTCCGAGATGTCTTAGCTTTTAAGTGGTGAAACTCCTTTTATACCGAATATGACTACGATGATAAAAAAAAAGATCTTGGAATTTTTCAATTCATTTTTTATTATATTATTTAAACAATGTGATGTGGAAATTAATAATTGATTAATATCTGTCCTTCCACTTGTTTAAAAAAAAATACCTTACGTAGAAATCATTTTTGTAATGAACAATATACAGGTGATTATTGACCCAAATAAGAATACTATTATTATATGCATATATCACAGTGCTGATGCCGCCTTAACAAATTTTCCTCCGGAGCAGCTATCGATACGATTGGATTTCAACACGCATTCATAATACTGCCATCAAATTTTAATGTATTCTGGCATCAATATCCTTATTTGATATAGTGAGTACAAATATGCATGTATACAACATAATTAATACAATGAACTACTAATGCGGCAGCATATTTCTACTCAACGTTTAATCAGTGATTATCAAAATAGATCCAGATTAAACTTGAGGTTTTCAAAAGATATTAGGTAACTTCTGTGTTATACTAATAACACTTTCATTAAAATATACCACATAAAAATATAACTCTTTTATACAATTGAGTAGAGCATTTAGTTGTAGATTCATTATATCTCATATTTGACATTTAGCTTACAGACTTTCATCACTCGGAACTCTGACATGATCTTGGGTGTCGTCAATGTGGAGAGCATGTCTATTTTGTGATATGTCCTTCCTTGAATTAGAATACATTTCTGTGATTTATGTTAGTCAATAGTTTTTTTTAAAATTAAAATATGATACAAAAAAGTGATCTTTATTTAAATGTGTCATAAAAGATATGTTTCAGAGTTCTTCTGGAGGATTTTGACGAAGCTCATAAAGTTGCCTTCAATATGAGTTTTATAAGAGATCTTTTAGTTTCGTGTTATCTGGGTAAGGTAAGGATACTTTCAGAGCGGCCGTGTCGGATTTTTACAATTTTTCGCGCGTGATATAGCCAAACTGAAAACTAAAGGTTTCAACACGTGCGTTAAAGCCTTCCGAATGAGATTCACCTATTATGCAATTGAAACAGTTAAGGTTTATGAATAAAATTATTGTTTTAATAGCGTTTCTCGGCTATCGGGGTTTCTAACACTCGAGAAACACCCATGTCGTAGTTTTTTACTCCTGCGCGTACCCAATTTGTGACCCCCTTGGGGCAATTTATGACGCCTGCGCGTACTCACTTTCTAACACTTCCGAATATCCCCATACAAACGAGTGTCAACAACATAGCAACACAACCTGAATTATGTGACGCACTTATTGATAACGCGAATTTGAACAAATATCTAACAAAAAGTTAAATATTTTCTCATCTCATCGATAGTTTGGTTCCAGTTAACATGTTGACACCATTTTTATGTCGTTTTATACTTACATGACGAACAAAATTCACAACAACGTAGCTCGTCGCAACTAGTGCTACCGTCTAGCACTGCCGCTGCGGAGCCACTCAGACGCCTGTCGCACTATTCTTTGGTCAATTTCTATTCAAAAATATTTGAAATAATTTAAAGTGAAAAACGCTTTTTAATTAGCAGGTTATGATAAAATTATGCCATTGGGATCACAATCTGGAACAGTATCACTAACTGAGCCGTTTACCTTATATTTTGCTCTTAGTTTATTGAATTCAAATGAAACCTCTCAAGACTTAATACTACGAAAGATCGTTATCCAAGTCTCGAATAATGCCAATTCGTGGGAAGCATTTGTCCATGTTTCTCATGGTCAATGACCATAAGAGTATTCGATTTCGCAACGGGTACTACCGTACCATAGATATCATTGAAACTGCTAAGTATTCATCCGAAAGACTCGGTCTTCATCGTGCGACCTCTATGGTTTTTCGGTTCCATGAGATGCCCTCGAATTTTCATACATTTAGCCGTTTAGGAAGGACACAATTTTTGGAGCGATGCCAATTTGCCAAATACATACAAATATTATCAATAAAATAAAATAAACTGAAAATTAATGAGAAACATAAAAAAATACTACGCTAATGCGATTGTTTTTGTTTTATAAAAAAAAATAATAATTCCCATTTTTTTATAAAGTAATATGAGAATATTGGTCTATTGTATGATGTATTATATTCATGGAGTACTGATGACAAATTATTGATCTCTAAAATATAAGATAAGTTTATTCCATAAGATGCGTTATATACATGATTCAGTTTTTCCGCAGACTGTTCTACGCATCAGAAGATGGGCCAACCCATGTAAAAACTATTTGCATCGGTCCTTCGAGAATGACGTGAACGTCTGGATGGTCATTGGCAGACTAAACGTGATGAAGATACTGATTCTGCTTACTGAGAATTAGCCATTCATACAATATTCAAGATCCTCTGAAGGCTTGACTATATAACACCCTTTTTGCGGATCTTGTGATCAGTCTTCTTGCCTATCTCGGGCGAAATAAATCATATTACAAACGTACGAAATTTCTTAGACGTGTCAAATTAATATTTCTACTACTTATAAGCTTCAAATTTTTAATCATCACGTAAACCAAAATAGGTATAAAAATTGTCAAAAATGTTTCGTGTCAAGTTCGTCGTAATATTTATAGCATTAACAGTCGGTATCATAGCGTTTCCGCAACAAACATCAAAATCCAAGAGGCCAACATCAATTTTCAAAGTAAGAATTTGCAGAATTGAATCTACTTAAAAAAATTTAATTATCTAAAAATGATTAAATCCTTGACATTTCACGATGTTAGATGCAATTATTTCTGTACATTGTATTTTTCCTAGAATAAATTGTTCAATTTGGAACTTCCGGACAATGCTACCACTATTCGAGAAAATATTATCGACACATTTTCCTGTAAAGATCGAATTTACGGTTATTATGCGGATATAGAGAACGAGTGTCAAATATTTCACGTGTGTCTACCACATGGAAAAAGCTCAACCAGATGGAGTTTTATCTGTCCCGCCGAAACCAGATTTAATCAGGTAAATTGAATGGTTTTATATAAAAGAATGTTTTATACATTTTTTTATTTTTATGTATCTTATATAGAATAATTTTTTATATATTTATATATTTTTGATAATTTTAGGCAACGTTCGTCTGTACTCTCACTGAAAATTCAATACCTTGTGAACAATCTGAGCAATATTACACATTAAACGAAGAAATTGGTAAAATCGAGAATAAAGAGCATACGAATAACACATATGTACCGGAGTGGGAAACAGAAACGAATACGACAAAGCCATTTATAAAAATCGCTCAAGACTCCCGACGAAAGAAAATTCAACCTTGAATATTAATTCCAAAATACATGAACATAAATTAATCGCTTATTCATTACTAAATTCTATTGTAATAAAATAGACAAAAGGACAAAGAAAAATTATTAAAAAGTTGGTTAAGATTAGCGAAATAAGTTATTTATGTTTCGTTTGAAATATAAAGCTACATTATAAGAGTGCAATCATTAATAGAACTTGTTCATTTGATGAATGACCATTAAATACGGCAATGTTAATCCTGTAGCAAGTGCCAGGGTGAATCCTATTGTGAATCTATTACCCTTCCTAATATCAAAGGGGAATACCTACAAAAAAAAGAAATAAAATAGAAATTATTCTTTCAGTGTGTCAAGAATTAATACAATTTTTTGATTATGGAATACATGGAGTATAGACGATTAATAATTTTCAATTTACCTGATGAGGTTGTTTCTCAGGGCCATGTTTTTGAATTATATTAAAATGATGACTTTTTCTTATAAAAAGTACATAGGACGAAGCTCTTCTCCTGAGCACTTCTCGACAAAACATTATTTTATTTTATCAGAATAGCAAACGTCGGGTATCGTACTAACAAATTTCCTAAAGGGCGTATAATTTTGCATTTGTTTATAACTGTTACCATAGATATTTACAATATGAGAATATTCGATGAAGCTTCGGTAGAAAATTGTTTATTACATATATGCCATTTTTAAAGCAACAATTCACAACGGAGAAACTCCTGATGCACCACTTCTCGTCATATACATACATACATACATACATACATACATACATATTTCACCTACCGCTAAATGTAAATTTCAAAATCCGCAGAGAATCTCTTTATAAGCATGTTATGATAAACATCTTCGATTATCTTATGATTTCTTTGTACTCTTAGCTGCATACACACATGAACAAAATACAGGACGAGTCATGAGGAAAAATCAGAATTATTAAAATTCTCGAAATACATAATTGATACAGTAAAGTGATTCTAATTGAAATTAAATCCAGCATTGTCCCAATACTATACTTATTTAAACCATATACAGAATAGTTACAAATAGTACAGGCTCTACGTTACAAAAAATTCGATCTATTTCATCTTGCATATGTCACGTGACAGTTTAAATCCTGTACCAAAATGCTACATCTTTAGAGCCATGGATGCCAAGAGGGATCCATTCGACACAAATTGTCATGACTATTAGCAGCAGCGACCAGCGTACTAACTTTACTATCTGTTCCGTCGAAATTTGCCAATGAATTCAACCTGGTCATTATTGCCGTTACTGCGCGAGTCACCATGGTGATCAGGAGTTCGCCTTTCATGTCTGCTGGTGCTTGTAATACGTTCTCTGCATCTTCTTGCTTTTTGTTGTGGTCGGAAATTACCTCGTCCCGTAATATGGCTCTCAATATCGTGTGTACTTTGAAGGATGGTTGTACCAAGCAGCGTGCCGTTGCTATTGCACTTGCTGTTAATGGTCCAGATACACCTAATGGAAATGCAATATCAATCAGAAAAGATCTACTATCCCAAAGACTGATACAATTTTTTAAGGAGGTCCTGTCGATGCATGCTAGTCAATTAATCAACTATCGAATCAATTCCATAAATCGATTAAAACAAACCAAACTTTCTACGAAATTATTCACATTAAGTATAGAAATTTGTTTGTAGGTGTTTATCTTTGTGAAATTAGCTCATTTGTACAAATATATTTAAAAATCATACTCTCATTTGACTTTTATTTATTTGTTTATTGGGTCTCTTCTGATGAATCGATTGAGATCCGGCAATTTAATTTGCTATTACTCTTTGAATCATCCGGTAAGGTCACTTTTTATGGTATGTATCGAATTCTAAAGAATTCACGAATCTTTAGTGTACCATTTTTTGCTTCAAAATTCACTTTAAATACGTTAGTTTCTCATCCAAAGTTGAAATTCAATCTCTGTGACCTTTGAGTTCATACATAAAATTTCGTTTTTAATATTACATTTTTTAATATTTTCGTCGGTGACCAACCATCACATTTTGCAACTGAGTTCAGAATTGTTTAATTTATAACCTGTAAACGATTCAGACGTGAAAATTCAAGTAGGTAGTTTCGACAGGACCTCCTTAAAGGAGACTTCTGAAACCAAATTCGAATATTTACTTTTTTTTTTAATAACAGTACATTTTTAGGTAATTGTTTTCCACGTTATATGAGCTTTCATAACTTTTATATATATACTACTACTGACATTTATTTTATAAATAATAATATCGTAGCCGCCATTGAAAACAGCGGAAAAATTCCCTGACTTTTCTCTGACTTTCTCTGACTGAAATCTAAAGTAATGTGAGTAATACAACAGCCAAATTTCAATACTTTATTTTGATTTATTACGATTCCTAGCATGTGAAAAAATCATTCTTTGAATATTGCTTCTTCTTGGAGAAAGTTTTGTTTGTTCTCGTTCCGTCCCTCATTTTCCCTGACCAATTCAAAAATGTCGTGAATTTTCCCTAATTAGCCTGACCGATGGCGACCATGAATATGTTCCCACTTTCTCAGTAATTCTTGATATTACAGTGTTATAGCAAATAATAGAAAAATACAGTAATTCGTCACATCTTGGCACACAGTCTTGGGACAGTTACGAAATGGAAGACTCCTTAATTCTTCGGTTACTCTTTAAAAAAAGTGCAATCTACAGAACAATTGTTGACATCATGGAAAAGTATAAATATTGAGTTTCAATAAAGTTTTTGTGTTAAACTTGACTAACTTATTATTTTCCCGGCCCTTATTCTGTTCACTTTAACCAGTCCTTAAAAAGTCAGCAACCACATACGGAAATCTACATATATTCGAAGTGTCTCGTTACTGTCCGCATTTGCATGTATCAAATAATAATAATAATAATGATGATGATGATGATGATGATAATAGCGTCTTCATTGTCACGATGTTACATACAAACAGTGAGAAACACGTACATAGGTAATTGCTTCGCATTCTGACTCCTTTTGCATTCTGACCCATGATCAATAGGAATCTTTTCGGAATTGCTTCCGGACTTGATGGAATTTCACATTTTTTAAACTAGTACTATTTGATATTAAGCTCATTTTGAAAATTATCAATATTTTGTATTTTATATCCACTGATTTTATACTTATAAACGATATAATATGATGATTTAATCCAAATAAATTAACGAAGATTAGGTTTATTGTACTTCAGTTACAGCATTATATTCAAGCAATGTAATAGAAACGATTAGATATCTAAAAACTATAAAATATTTCACAAACTGTCAGTTAGAAATATTTTTAAAAAATTTGCTTACCTGTACTCGTTAAGAATTCCAAAATATTTGGAGTCAATCGAAATGGAACAGGTCTATTGGCATCCAGCTCTCCGGAAGTATCATCTACGTCAAATTTGAAATAGGCTATGTTTATTAAGCCAGAGTCTTGATGCACGTACATCATATCCGGATTCAGCCTAGTCAGGTGTAAAACGTACTCAGCAAAGCAGGCCAGTGAAAGTTGCAGAGTAAACTAAAAGACAATAACTTACTTGACAACATCTGCTGTAAATATAACTACATATAGTTTAAAAATACATCGTGTTTCCTACCATCTTTCTAAATGTCCAATAATCCGTAGCTGCAGGGAATGTCTTTACTGCCCAATCTCTCAGCATTGTCCTGGCCACCATCGTCGATTGTACTTCCTTCAATATATCCCGCAGGACTTGGTGACTCGCCTGCGCTCCACGTGCCTGTACCGTAGCTAATCTATCATAGTACCTAGCAATAGGAGCATCATGTTCTATTTCTAATTTAGCACACCCTTGCTTATAAATGTCCAAAAGAGACACTGAAGCTGGATTATCCTCCACAAGTCGCATCTGTGGTGAAACTGCAACCACTCTTGGAACTGTAAAGTGCAGAAATCTTCGAGAAGTTTCCTTCTGTTTAGCCAGGTAATGATTAAGCATTCTGAGTAATTGCAGCACACGTTCCTCGCGTCGCGCATCTCCCAGACCAGCGTCGTTCACTACCAAATAGGGATATAGCCGTCCATTGTGTCCTCGTATCCGTAATCTTCGGGCTGCTGTATTATGCCGTTGTACGACTTCAACTCTTGGCATAAACCTTGCTATCCTGACATAATAATGTGAGTGTTTGGGTAATAGGAATTCGCCAGGTAGTTCCACCTCAGCTGTTTTCAAACTGAAGTTACTGAGGAAGCGGCATTTCTCTTCAATCAGAAAAGATTTAGGAAGCTGTTTTGTTTTTCCTTCGAGTATTTTAATCCATTTCTTAAGTTTACTAATCAAATTATGCAACAACCGCGCACCGGGAACAGTGAAATCGAAATCACTAGTAAACTGTCCTTTCATTTTCTGAAACACTGGATCCTGTACAGTCGCCTGTGCCCTACGTGCCAAAGATTCCGACGCTGCAGAGCCAAAAGTATTATTCACATTTTGAGATGAGGATATGTTTTCAATTCCAATACCAAAAGTAGAAACCAGCTTCTTCACAAAATTCAGAGTATGTGGTGTTATGGTAGCCTCACTGACAGCTCCACGATTCTCAAATGCAATAGCATAACACTTAGCTAGTCCTTGTCTAAGTTGTCGTAAAACTTCTTCATACCAGGTCTCACGGAACCAGACCATTTGATCTACAATACCTTCTAGACTAGACAAAATGGTGGGATGTATGTCACGCTGCATGTGCATTATCTTAGAACAACGCCACATCGGTGGAGTAGCACGTATTGGTCCCGTTTCTGGAGCACCCTGTTGCTGCACGTTTCCAGCAACACGACCCTCTGTGCCGTCATTACTCTTTCCTGCTGCCAATTCAGCACTCTTGTACCGTTCTCTTTGTTCTATTTTTAAAGTCAGGTAAAGGGTTCTTATTGAGAAGTAAACTGCCTGTGGGAACATTCTTCCTACCTGACTGAGAAGATTTAATATAACATTACCCTCGTGTCGTACAAGGCACATCAACAGTTGTGGTATCCAAGGTAACCATTGAATGGGTGGAACGCCAACCGCATATTTATCAACAGCTTCCATTAAAGAAAATTTGTCATCGTCATAAGTTAATAGCCATAGCACCTTCGCCAGATACTTCCTGGACTTCGATTCATTTTGATGCCTACAAGCATGAAGGAAGCAAGTCATAGCAGAAACACCAATAGAAATCTGTCGTGCATCTCGTGTGAATATGTGTTCTAAGTAATCTCCCCAGAGTGCCCAAGCTTTGACCAGAGTATCATGGAGCTGTACTGCCGCCGAAAAGGCCTTATTCGCATCATCGGAACGTCCTATCTGAGATAGAAGCATACCCTTCAAGGCGTAAAACTCTGCAGTCATCTCCTTAGTGAAGTATTTGAGATTCGTTGATTCTATAACTTCCAGACCTTCCTGCAGTTCATTCTTTCCTGTCACTGAAGCCATTTGCAGATAGCACTTGACTTGTTGTCTTATCTTTTGGAAACAGTCCACAATAGGTACACTCGGTATCGTATAGATCCTTGATAAGGAATCTAAACAGACTCCAGAAAGATTATGTTTCCTAGCAATCTTCCCAAAATGGATGATCGCTTGTGCCGATGCGTGAACACCCAGCATAGAATGATTCGTTGTTTGATCCTGTTGAGAATCGTAATGGCTAGAAATAAAGGTGTAATGATGTTGCCTCCAAGTGAAGATATCGGACCAGTGACTTAGATCATCAGCGATCACTGGCAATCGATTACGCCAAGTTTTCACAATAGCTTTCATATCATGGAGAGAGGAACTCCTACCATGAAGGAGACCTTGGTGAATTTGCATAGCCTCTTGCAATTCCATTATCTGTTGTGCTGCCTGTAGCAATGGTAGATGAATGTGACTGACAATATGAGGTAGTCTACGCCATTCTCGCATGCAAAGTCCAGAAGCCAGCTCGACATATCGTTCGACAGCAGTGAGATGTTGGTCCTCACTATGACAAATTGCGAGGAATCCACGGTAAAGGTTAACTTTCCAGGCCATTTCTTTAGGACAATTATGTTCAACTTGTGCTAAGGCCTCTTTCATTATTGTCCAGTTTGGAATGCGCCAAGAGCTCTCCAAGATAAGAAATGGATTCTTCTCAGCTTTCTTGCTTCCATAATCCAACAGCAAGTCCCACTGATTAAGTTCCTTGGCACAGCGAATCCAATGCTGCTCCCAGAGAATAGTTTCCCTTTGAGTCTTGAAAGGCGCTGGTGTTGTAGCATAGTCTTGTTTAAATTTGGTCATTGCTACATCATAAGCACCTTGGGCCTGTTCGAAAAACCCTTGCTGCTCTAGTGCTGTAGCTTGCAATGTCTCCTTGTAGTGAGCATGTTTCTGCCAGAGACCAGACCACATATCTTCTTCACAAAGTAGAGAATACATATCGGAGAGACTGTTTAACACTTCCGCATGAGGACTGTTGTCTGGTTCGAAATCATAGCAATCAGATTCACGTTTGTTCTTATACTGATTATTTCCAGTATCAAAGGCCATTTGCTCTAGACTGAAGGTCATTCTATGCCACAAATTGTGTGATCTACCTAGATACTTCATCAAAGCAGGCCTCATGGGTACTGATGGATTGCAATGTGTCATGGCTTCAACAAATGTGGCTATAGCACTCGGATGACAATCCTTCTGTATTACATGAGTTCCACTACAGATAAAGGGCACCATTTCCGCTATAAGTGCATTATGTTGGTGTTCATCCAGAATACTCCAAAGTCTTGGAAAAGTGTCCAACCAAACACGTTCAGCAAGGTTAGTATCCATGTGACACAGCTGCGCGGTGGCTACTAGCATTTGTTCGGTCCTAATTTTTCTAGCATGCTCTAAGAACTCTGCTTGTTTGGCGATAAGTTGCGTGAGGGTAGCTTTTCTCCCACATATTATTTCTTCTGGAACTGTAGCTGGATCCACATTCGACAGATCCATATCTAAAATATCATCCTTAACATCGCCTGATTCTGAGATATCTTGAGGTTCTTCTTTCACTGTCGTATAAATTACAAAGTTTTTATGCTCCTCGCTATCAGCCATATTTATAATTGATGTGACACTGGGTAGTAGTGTATCCTGATTAGTCATTTGTATTTGCGTTGTAGAACTAGCTGTCACCAAGAGAAGCTCGATACATTGTTTTATCCAGTAATGAGGTCCCATGGCGTCCCAACTCTGGCTACAAATGATATACAACAATCTATCATGTAATCTTCTTCTCATAGATCCATCGAATACTTCAAAAAACTTGGCCCTAATATGAGGCTGTATACATCTCAATCCTGAAAGGAAAGCAGGTTCCAATTTTGATGTGAGTTCCGATGATTTCAATGTATCATCCCTATAAACATAATTAACCAATTCAAGGAATTGCCCATTAAGCTCAAGATCATCGGGGAACCGTTTTTCAACATATTGCATCATCTTCACGAGTAGGATAGACTTTTCCCTGAGGCTGGGTGCTTGATTTATTGCTATAGGGTGCTTGTTCTTCATCCATTCTTCCAACATCTTTGTTATGGCCTTCATTACTTTGATATCCTGAGTTTTTTCTATGAGCCCAACTAAAATAGTTCCTATGAAAGATTTACGCATCTCTACACCCATGACTACTACTCTATTCTTTACAAGATCCAAGCTGAGTATCAGAAGTTCACTGCCCACAGGATTAGTCTCAGTTTGAGTGGGATGCAAATGATCCTTTGCCATTCTGTGAAGAACTCTCATAAAAGGGGTAATCAGACGATCAATGTAGCTTTGATTATTTGTGCACGCTGCTTTGAGCGTCATCAGAGTTCCAAATAGGGTACTGGGTGTTGCAGTAGTATTCTTCTCATAAGCTGCCAGTCCATCAAAAATAAACTTACCAACAGTAGTGTAGAGAGTATCAAGTTCTTCATATTTGGAAGCCACATTAGAGGACGTGGGTTCAGTTGGAAATATTGTCATAAGTCGTGATAGTAGACCATGAACCAGTCTAATGACTTTAGTATTGCTACTGGCAATACATGCTCCCAAGCCTCTTTGAAGCGGTTTGCAACTTGCTAAAATCTGTTCTCGTTTCATTACCCCTAGTAAAAATGTCATGAGTTCCAATGCAGTGCATATATTCCCATAGTTCGGTTGGGCATTGTCAACACTCGCAAAAACCTTATCCAGCCAAGCTAACTTTAAATCACAGGACTGTGGCCATACGTCTGGCTTCAGAGCCAGTTTTAATAAAGTTACACACCTTCTAGAAAGTTGTTCTCCAGGGTTACCTTGAGTTGTAGTCGCATCATTCACTTGGCAAGCTAGACGCAACAAGAAGTTCAGAATAGCATCTGCATGAGCCCTTTCTATCGGTTTTGTTGCACCAGGTTCCATTTTTGGTGTAATTAGAGGAACTGTGGTATTGGCAGTAACCGGTTGTGTAGCTAGACGTTTATTCCCAGCAGGATCATCCTGGATTGGTCTTTTCACTGTTCCTGTCATAGTACCTGTACCACCTGTTTCAACATTCTCGGCCTCATCCTTAATTCTGTGTAACTCCCACTTGATAATAACCTCAGCCAATTCAACTGCTAATCTCCTATGTTCTATGGTAGCGGTAGGGCTGAATCCTAATCTCTGAATGGAATTAACCATATGCTGAACCAAGTGATGTCTCACTGGATAGTAAACCTTATAGTGCCTCACTACAAGTTGCAGTATATGAAACAACTGCTGCATAGAGTGCCCTTCCTCAACAATGATTTTTTTAGTCCAATGTGTAAGCATAGTGTTACCGTCCTCCATTCTAACAGGCATAGCAGGTGTAAGAATTTCAAGAGCCTGCCTAACAACATTCCTGGCTTCAACAGCATGAGCCTTCAGTAGACTATGGAATACTTGAAGGACGATCCTTTTGTGTATAGCAAACTTAGCAATAATGTGACTTAGCAATAGATGACCATGATATCGTGTTGCAGGGTCAACGCAATTCTTCCCGAGGAGACATGGCCATGCAAATGTCATCAATCTTCGTAATTTGTTTCCTTGTCTTTTATTAGTTACATCATGGATATGCTGGGAAGCCTGCTCCACCAGGAGACATGAAAATTGTAGCAAAGAAATTCTCACGCAATCAGCAGATCCGAAGGGATTATCTGGATCGATGATTTTACTGATGAAGACCGAAACCACGTTCTCTGGATTGTCTTGATAAGGCATTGGTGCGCCTCCGACCAATTTTACTCCCTCACCGCGTTCAAAACTTGTGGCAAAACAAGGAATGATGATGAGCTGCAACACTTTAGCTTTCAACTCCTGTGACATATTATTCGTGGGAAAGTGTTCAACAAATCTAAAGAATGCACTTCGCTTCCATTCAACTGTATATTCCTGCGCCACTGTATTTTCCAGGAAATCACGAAGAAACTGGAAATCCGGTATGAATCGGTCACAGGTAGCTCTCAATAGTTGGAAAAGCAGATCAATATCATTGGGATGATGGCCAAAATAATGCAGGAGAATTTTGACAATGAGTTTTGGTTCTTTCCAATGACAGAAATCCACACTATCGACTTTCTTATGTAAATTCTGATATTCATCGTTACACCAAATCTGCTTCAATGCCGCAACTAATTGACTCTGTGTAGACAGCCATTGTTCGTCGAATTTAATCAGGACCGAAATGATTCTTATAGCTTGATGTTGTAATTCGCTCTTCTCGGCGTGGCTCAAATTAGAATTTGTTTGAGAATGAGTTAGCAGCATGGTGATTAGTCTGCTGGTGTTATTATGCAGAACGTCCCTAAATGATTTGCCGTCTTTGTGCTTTATTAAAAATTCTAAGTATCTGCTCCACTGTTGGTCCTTTATGTTGTTATCGTGAAGAAAAAGGTTTAGAGTTTCTGTTGGATAGCGTAGTAGGAATCTCATTAGTGGAACACGAAAAGGGCTAGAAGCTTCCACCAATAATGATTTTTCTGTCTGCAAGACGAGTCTGCATAATACATCGATGAACTTCGGTGTGGCAGCTGGAATCTGATGAAATATCCCTATAATGGTAGCAATCTTTTGTTCATTTTCTCCTGATTTCGAAACGCCTTTATGGGCCTGGATGAGATTCTCTAAGAGTTTCTTTAAGTGTTGCAATAACTGTTCACACAAAGTGATGCTGAAGGTACTAGGAAAAAGTTGTGTTAAATAGGAAAGGCGTTTTACACAGTTTAGACTGAGATTCCTGTGATCTCCTAGAGTTAACAGCATTGGCCGCATTATAGCATGTACAGATTCCATGTCAATTTGGAATCCAGCTATGAATTTCTGCATACATTCGAAAGCAGCTTCCTGTAGTTCTGCATTCTGTTTCTCTAGGGCTTTATAAAGAACGCCAAAAATCTTTTCTCTGCATGCAACAATGTAGTGGCAGGCAGCTAATGCTCTCAGGGCTGATTTTCTTAAAGGTATAAGATTCGATACCGATTTGTAACAAGGCAGCTTGTTTAGATTAGCATCCTCTGCTTCGCTTAGGGCAAGAAGCTCTTGAAAAAAGACTTTGTGTTCCATGATGGTTAAATCGATAGTGAATAATCTTGGGTTAAGAGTAGTGCAGAAGGTGTTCCCATCCATAAGACCAATCTGAGCATTGGCTGGTTGATGTCTGAGCAGATGTTTCTTGGGAGGAATCATATCTGCGAGAACCTCCTTATGCGGCTCCATCACCTCTGTAACCGTCTTATTCTGTATTTCACCCAGCAGTCTTAAAGACGCCATAGCTTGCTCTCTAACCATAGAGTGGGGAGAAGTCACTTGTCGCACAAGTTCATGCGTTACTTCATAGAGACTCTTATTATGTGCTTCTAATAATTCTGTGTTTCCATCTTGAATTCCTGGATTCACACAGACCCTTAGCATCTTTTCGAGGTTAGCTTTAGCCATGTCTATGGCACCGTTTGACACTTCTCCTGTAAGATCCATCATAACGAACATAAGTGCTTTAAGAAATACAAACAAATGATTTAGAACCCACTTCGTAGCCATTCTTTCGAATAGGAATTTTATTGCTATACATCCACCCAATTTTGCGTACCACGCCCTCTCGTAGCACAAAGAGCACATTCTCTCTGCAAGATATTCCATCAATGGTAACTGACATGCACGTTCCTTAGTACCAAGAATATTTGTAGCAGTTTCCAGTATCAGAACTAATGCGAGATGTCCAGGTTTACAAAGCTCCTTTTCTTCATGACCCATAATCACGGCCAGCGCATCAATAAGAACCAGTGAATCCTGTCCTTGACTTCTAATTGGTCTGCCAGTCGAGTAAAATGGTCCCGCTTGCTGGGCAATGGCCACCATCGTATAATGTCTAACGAGTGACACCATGGTGCCTAAGACAGAATGCCTGAGTTCCTTGATAGCTGCAGCTACGAATAATCCAGTCAAAGCGGTTTGTTGTACATTTCGGGCTACGATATCAGGACACTTGTAATGTGGCCCTTGTTGATGTAGTATTTTCCTTTCTTTGAAGCTCGGATGCATGAAGAGCTTATAAAGGGTCAACCTATCATCATCCAGCTTAAGTGAAGCGGCTAGATAACAGTTAATCACTTCCCAGCACTGCCGACGGTAGAATGGATCAGTTGCATTAGATTTAAGTGCAGTAAATGCTGTTTCAACAACCTTTTCCACAGAAAAATCAATAGGTTTCGAAGGTTCTTGAAAGTAGGCAATAATAGCTGGTGAGCTTGTTTCTCGATCATTGTACTCAAGTTTCTGTGGTTCGATCATCATTTTTCGATTTCCACCCCCGAATTTACCAAGCACTCTGAAGGCTACGTGTGCCACTTGATCAGTAGGATTTCGAAGTGTTCTCCATAGAGCTTGCATCAAATCAGCACGTACTGGCTGAATATGTTCATAAAGAAAGTCCGGTTGCAGATTATCTACACAAAGTTCAAGAGTACGTAAACCTTGACTGACCAGAGTATGACTTCCGTTGAGAGCAGACACGAGGGGGTCCATAAGCATTGGCAGATAAGGAAGTAGAGAACTAAGACGCACTGGTACAGTCAAGCACAACTCAACAAATAAATCCTTCATATGTTGCTTATGTAAACCTGACTGAAGTCTATTAAGACCTTCCAATAGATTTGGAAGTAATGGTAAGAATTCTTGGTACAGAAGATCATGGGAGCCACCTCCAATAGATCTAAAGAGAGCACGTAGTAGTAGAAAATAATTATATGGTTCTTTAGCAGACATGGCGAGTTCCATAGAGCGATTTACAATTTGATGAAGATGCGGTCTGAGCATATGCTCATTTTCGGCTGGAAAAAGTGAGACGCTTCCAAAGACTAACTTGAATAGTCTTAAATATAAATTACTTCTTTCGACATTAGATCCCATGTCGTCCATTCTTTCCAGAAGGTACTCCACGAGAACTGTGGCGAATATCGGTGAAGTCGTTGGATTGGCCAGAAACGAATTACCTACAATTTGAAGGGCGCAGTTCTTGAAAATACGTTCCACCATGTAGTCTATAGTCGTTGAGAATATTTCTTGAAAAGTCTGAGGATTCATCATTGAAAATACACCACTGAAATGCTCCAAAACTTCTTTCTCTTCCTTCGTCCTTACTGTTTGTGGCTGTGTTGGTCTTCCCGATTGAGTGATGACTCCTACAGCTGGAGGCCCTATTGTATAAATATCAAGTGCCTGAAGGGCCCACTTTACTAGTCTGATAAAAACTAGCGTCTCTTTTGGTTGAAATTGTTTGGATTGCGCAACTTCACCTGATTTGCAATTAGCACAACCCCATGTGATAGTTTTCACACCGCATACCAAGGTTTTGACGAGACTTCTATAATCGGCCACGTTATAATTCGTGGCTTGTGAAGCTGGAAAGCCAAATTTTGACTTGCCACAATCCTTATCATCGTTCAAATCTGTTATGCTTTGCTTAATATCTTCTGTTTTAACTTCCACTCCTGTCAACGTTGGCTGCTTCGCCTTATTCAAAAGAACAGGCATTTGAAGTTTCGTTATCGTTTTAAATTTAAGCACAAAAACTTCCAGCATCCTCATTAGCAATTCTCTTCCCTGATTACTATTCTCTGCATCGGATCTCTGTCTAATGCATTCGACCAAATTTAAAAGTAACTTGCATGACATTGTCTGTATAGTAGTAGGGAGACTTTGATCATGTACATTTTTGCTAAACAGATGAACGGCTCTAGCCAAGTCGCTAAGTGGTAACAACTGTCTAACATGGTGAACCAAATCGGCTAATGTTGAATACGCCAAAGGTCTAAGTGATTCATGGGTAGTCCAACCATGCCCAAGAAGTACATCTTCATCAAACAGCCTTTCCATATGTGGAACAAACTTATTACGTAAATCGGTTGCTAGAATATGTCTGGCAGCTATCAATAATTCTTTACGAAGATGAGCAACTTCCATGGGACAGAGTGTTAGTAATCCCAGCATTCCTTTAACCATCATAGTACTGTGTTGAGACACAACGTCCTGATAAATTCTAATAATGTAAGCCAGGAAGGATAACGTCTTGATCTGAGCACCCATAAAATCTACAAAGACTTCTTTGTTGAAACCAGGAGATGCCCTATGCTGAGAACTTGGTTGTAACGTAATAGTTGTCATAATTAATGGTATAAAATCAGAAACATCCTGATGCACGTTCTGCTTATAAATTTGATACATGAGGACCACTATTATTGGGAGTTCCTGCAGTACTTTCAAGGATAAGACTGCTTTTGGAATAAGATTATACTGAAATAAAAAATACAATTATATACTCCCTATTTTGTAGTTGTTATCTTACTTCAAGTCCTGCTTACACTCGAGAAGATAAATCTTACCGTGACGACAGTTCCATCAGCAGCTTTCTTCTCACTTTGAATAGCAGTGATTGTAAATGTCTCTCTCAACAGAGCCTCTATATTTATTTCTGATAAATCTTTCACCCGTAATGGTGGTCTGGGCTCGAAAATCTTTGGCAAATGTTTAGGCAATTCGCTATATATTGATTTAACGAATTGTAGAAAATGTTGAATCTATTAAAAAAATATTATTTCCAACAATGTACTAATTGTAAGCTTATCGGTAATATGAAATTAACTTTGTACACAAAAACATAATATGAAATTAACTTTGTACACAAAAACATAAGATATTAACCTCAGGATTGAATGTTGGTCTGTACTGCTTATGTAATTCAATTATAATCCTTAAGCAGACAAGTATATTCTCTTCGTTTTCAGTTTCCAAAAGTTTCAGCATCAAACTTAAAATCTGCTTTACGTAAGGTCTCAAGTATTCATTTGTAGGTAATCTGTGTATCATCTCCAGGATGAGTTTTCTAACTTGCTGGATATTATATTCTGATATAAAGTGAGGTTCGCCATCCTGAAGTATCTTCAAAAAAATCTTCATAAGGTGATCCAAAAATGCTGGATATTGAGAGGAGCACATAATAACCTGAAGAAAAATTTAAAGTCAAATACATTGCTCTCCCAAAAAAAAAAAATCATTAAATAACATGCTATATAACAAAATAGAATAAATGATGTACCTCAAAGTTCTCTGACAGTTCCTGAGCTGCCTTTAATTTTAATTCATCCTTGGACCCAGGATCAGCAAGCATCGTCACGTAAGACCGATACGTATTCATCTGGGTTAGCGGATCCGGTGGAGCCATGTTGTTTCAATTAATCTCGTACTCTTTTCTGATTAACAACTATTTATCTATAAATAAAAATTTTTTAAAATATAATTTCAACCCTTTTTGAAACATTCTACGCCATACAAAACACCTGAATAAACTAACATAATTACTAGATACCTGTCGCCATCATATCAGAAACAGCACGATGATCAATGATGGGATTAATTAAAAGCCATCCGAAAATTCACGATAGGTGTTGGATAGAATCAATGGAGCAAGGACAGACCTACTAAGCACAGTAAACAGTCCTTAGCAACCGCAGGGAATAGTCATACCTAATTTTTCACCCCAGAGGTTTTTACTTATTCTCCAGTCGCACTTTGTGGCTAGACTCATACTTGCACTTCATAGTTGAAAAAATTATAATTCACATATAAAAGAAAACGTAATTAAAAACAGTTAGAAAATGATTTATCATTTCATGAGAATTAAGCAATACGGGCATTGCGTCAACAAGTAAAACTATAAATTTTTAGATAGTGATATTAAACATGATTTATCTAACTTAACAGTTCTGAATTCTTTTTTCTCCGGCCTTCCTCATTTCACTCTCCCGCTTTTTGAGCATAGTGTTATGAAGGGTGAAAATCATAAGAGGTTCTATTCGTTCATCCTATAAGACATAAGAAGGTATTGTGGGTATATAAAACACCAAACCTGTACCGTCAGGCGGCAGCGGAACACATAAAGTGTCGTGAAAAGTGGCTAAGACAATGGAAGTAAGACGAGTGCCGGAAGAACCAAAAGTTTGTTATTGAAAACCCAACATTAAGATAATTTTTTTAAAATGGATGAGAAGACTATTGACTCAATTTTTTCTGGATCATTAAAATCATTACCGCCAGTTAGTTCGAAAATCGTGAGAATATTTACCAGCTCCACTTTCACTGGTAAGACATCAGATGTATTTATACCGGCAAATAAGGATTCTTTTTTTCTTTCTATTTTTATATTAGACACGACAATGGAGAGAAACACCCTGATGGCTCAATGCTATCCTAAGCTTAAGGATTATTGTCGAGAAAAGCATGGATTAGAATTTCAGGTAACGTCAAATTTGTGTATGGCATTTGTTTCTAATTTTTGCAAAATTTTGGATTGCGCATTATCATGCAAGCTTCATAGTCACGTGATAGTATCTTTACTTTCTATCGTTTACTTACACTGACATATCGACCTTGAGAAATTGATTTTGCCGTGTACCAGGTACCAAACCGCATTAAACATATATGTTGGCACCTACGTAGGCTCCAAAATGTTATACAGGACGAGAAAATCATTAAATTCATTGTTCATAGGTGGTAGACATGCGATGGGGTGTGCGTGACGAAGCTACTGATGATCATATGACAACCGAACTATGTATGAGAGAAATTGAAAATTGTCAAAGACTTTCTATGGGTCCAAATTTTGTTGTATGTTGATATTTTTCTCATGATAATTGATTCTTCCAAATTTACATCATTTATCACGATTTTTTAGGTTTTTCTGGGTCAAAAATATGGATATCGTCCAATACCAACGTATGTTTTGAGCTCAGAATTAGAGATGTTGAGAACAGAATTAGAAATTCAGGTTATGGATGTGAGTGTTCTTGACACTTGGTATAAAAAAGACAGTAATGCTGTTCCACCAACTAGTGTCCTGCAGCCAATTTCCTCTATTCTCAAGAACTTTAATAACAAAGTAAGTTGACCGAGAATAATGATATTTCAAACAGAATTTTTCTATTTTTGTCGATTGCTTTAGAGAATACCAAAACTACAACAAGAAGATCAAGCTATATGGTGGGACACAATGACAAAGATGCAGAAGCTCTTTCGAAAAGGAGCACAGTCTTTGTACAATTCTGGAAAATTCGATAAGGATACAATGCATAATTACTTCATGTCTGGTAATAATGATAAAATTATTTGTACATTGATAAAAATTAATTCTTATGAAACATATATTATTTTAAATATAGTAACGGAGAGAGAGGTTATTAATGGTATACTTAACGTAAAAAATACAAAAAATCATTGTTTGGCGTATGTACGTTACATAAACAATATCAATCTCCAAAATCTACGAAAAGCCAGTCTTTTTCTGGATATCGTTAACAGAAGTTTGGATAACGAAGCATCCCGACTCTTGGCAGATCTAAGAGATGAAAGATTGCCAAATAAAATTGAGAGTGCCAATTTACAAAGGTCGGTTAGAGAATATTAGAAAAAAATCTGTATGTATAGACACTTTAATTTTACACTGTACTATTATCACTATTTCAGATATACAGTAGAGTGGATCGGAAGAGAAGGTTTGGATTCGGATACTCATGGCGAATATCTACAGCATTTTATAACACACTTTTATAGAAATATGGTGAAGCTCGTAGACCGAGCGATGAGAAAAGAGGATAGCTCTGCTCAAGGGCAGATAATAACAGAAATTTTACAACATCTGCACGCCTGTAACAATTCTGTTAAGGTGTTTTATGGTCGACAAGATACTTTGGAGAGGATTAAAGATTATATGCTACAAGGTGATAATGACAAGCCCTTAGTTCTCTACGGTGAAGGAGGTTGCGGTAAAACTTCTCTACTCGCTAAAAGTGCAGGACTGACAAGCAGCATTTGGTTGGCTACAAAGAAACCAATAAGTATTATTAGGTTTCTTGGTACAACACCAGATAGCAGTGCCCTTACTCCGACTCTTATTTCTATTTGTCAACAGGTATCAAAATAATAACATATACTCTTTTCATTTACTTTATTCAAATTTTAAATAATCATCCTTGATTATAGATCTCTTATAACTTTATGCTACCCTTTGAAGAGATTCCTGATGATTTGGTTCCACTAACAGCCCATTTTAAACACCTGCTAACTTTGGCCACGACTGAACAACCTATACTGTTATTTCTGGATAGCGTTGATCAATTAACCGGAGTCCAGGGTAACAAGTTGTCATGGCTACCAACAAGATTACCACAAAATTGCAAGGTGTGAGAATGAATTAATCATTTAATATTAGGAAGAAATGCATCACTCTTGACATTTAAGATGATCCTGTCTTGTGCTGCTGAGGAATCCAATCCAATAATATCCAGAGACTATTATTTACTGAGACGGATGATAGATACCGAAGAAAGCTTCATAGAAGTCACTGCACTTGGTGAAGATTTAGCAATGGACGTAACCCGAATGTGGATGAAGACAGCTCATAGGGACTTGAACAATTATCAATGGCGACTAGTCGCCAACGCCATAGCAAAATGTTCTCTACCAATTTTTGTAAAATTGGTATTTGCTGAGATTTGCAGATGGAGAAGTTATACCAAACCGGCTGATACTCATTTGGCCAGTACAGTAATGGATAGTATAATGATGCTGTTTGAAAGAATTGAAAAACAGCACGGAAGAATTTTAGTATTCCATGCTCTGGCTTACATTACAGCAGCAAAATCGGGCTTGTCTGAATCAGAGTTGGAAGATCTGATATCATTGGATGACAAAGTCCTAGACGATGTCTATCAGTACCACTTGCCACCAGTCAGAAGGATTCCTCCTTTGCTATGGACCAGAATTAGAAACGATTTGCCAAATTACTTAAGCGAACGTGAAGCTGATGGTGTCAGTGTGCTTAACTGGTATCACAGACAATTTCGCGATACCGCTAAAGAAAGATACTTTAAAAATATGAATATGGCAATGTACTTTCACTCTATGATTGCGGATTATTATCTTGGTATTTGGGGTGGCGGAAGACCTAAACCTTTCAAATATACAGAAATTCAAAGACATAGATTTAATCTGACTGATAAAGAGGGTGTGGCTGATAGAAAGGTTCCGGAGCAGCCATTAGCTTTTTATTCAAAAGAGGGCAAGATTTCAAGATACAATTTGAGAAAGGTATATTTTTTTTACAATAAACCAATTTAAAATAGTAATAAGTAAATTGTGGATAATTGCAGTTTGGTGAATTGCCATATCATTTAGTGAGGGCACGCAGATTTAAGGACTTGTTTGAAAACGTATTATTTAATTACCAATGGCTCCATGCAAAATTGAGTTCCTGCCCGCTCCAGGCCGTCCTCTCAGACTTTGAGGATGCGTGTAATAATATCGACGACCAGAATTTAGTAAGGTAATTGCACTGTATAATGATGAATTGTATATAGCTCATCCATAAGAAGGTTATTCTTTTTCCTTTGTTTTACAGAGAGCTGATGCTAGTGGCAGATGCACTACGTCTGGGAGGAGCAATCCTAGGAAATCATCCAGATATGTTAGCACCTCAGTTGGTGGGCAGATTGTTACCAGAAATTGGTTGCAATATTAATGTTCGCATGTTACTCAAGGCCTGTGACAATGACGGAGCCAAAGATTGCGCGCTGCTGCCACTTTATCATTGCCTTCATACACCAGGAGGACCCTTAAAGGTAATACTATAAAAATTAAACTAAAAAAGGAATTGGGTACTAGCATAACTGCTTTTCAGTATTCTTTAGAAGGCCATCAATTCGCGGTTTTTGGATTTTGTTTAACATCAGACTACAGATATATAGTATCCATTTCCAACCGGTTTATAACGTGGGATTTAAGTACGAGTGATATGACGAGAGATGTTAATCCTGGCATAGAAGGAATCATGCAACAATTGGTTTTAAGTCCAGACAATAGATATGCAGCCGCATTTACTACGAATAATCAGGTAACTTTCAATTTGAAAAACAATTATAGGTATTTATTTATTTATTATTCTTCTTGCAGATTGTGGTTCTAAATACACTCACGAGTGAATTCGTGATTATTAATAATCCTATACCAAATGAAGAGCCTGTATATGGAGTACATTTAATGAACCAGTATGTTTTCATATTTGGAAGGATGGGTTGGTGTAAATTTGATCTGCGGGGTAACCTCCTAGGAAACTACACAAGTCCTGAGGATTCCAATCAATGGCCAATTCTATGTACGATTTCTAAAACCCCTGATTTGATGTTTCATTATTAAATTGTTATTTCTGTGATAGATGTGGAGTATTCAACTCTAGATGACTACAGGATTATTTTTTGGTCAGGAAATTTAGAAGATTCTTCAATGCTTTTACATGCATACAAAAAAAAAGGTGCACTAGACCCCTTCCATTTTCACAGGTAAAATGAGAAAAATAATTAACCTTTCAGTGGTAGTGCGTCTGACAGACCCAATAGATGTAAATTTCTTATGACTGGAAAAAAGACTCATTGGCAGATACATAGAATGTTCTGACAGTTTTTCTGAAATTAATATTTCAGTGCAATGGTGATGACCAACGATAAGAAAACCTTGTACGCCTGTACTATGACAAATGATTATCGTGTGATTAAATACACCATTGATGAAACTTCGTCTTATTGGGAGAATACTTTGGAAATGCCTAGAGCTGATAACGATGAGGTCGAATATTTACTTCAGCTAAAGCTCGATAAGGAGGAGGAAACTCTTATGGCTACTTCTGGCAATGGTTTTGTTATGTGGTTTCTGGAAACCAAAAGTGAAGCTATGGTACTGATGTTACCCAACGGCGTCAGGAACATTAATACAAGAATGCTCTGCTCAAATTCCATTATGGTTAGTGGTACAAAAAATTATGCTGTGGCTGGTGTAAGGTAAGAACTTAAAATAGGAATTGTATTAAACCCATTATTAACAAAGAGACTGAAGATTTTATTAAGGTGATCTGAATAAACTTGTAGAAAAAATTTATACGTTTGGAGTTTGGAAACTTGTGAGCTGGTTAAAATTCTGGATGCACACTTTGCAAGAATTATACAGCTAGAGGCACTTACAATTGGCAATTGGAACAGCGTCATAACATCTAGCATTGACAGAAATGTTAAAGTTTGGAATATTAACAATATTTTTGAACAAGTTCACGTTATTGACAGGCACGAACTACAAATAGATTCCATAAGGTAATATTTACAAGTTGATGTATAGAAATATCGTAATATTATTACGGTATATGATAGTTTAGCAGAGCACTGCAATTTGGCAACTACAGTTACAAGAGGATGTGTCGGTGTATGGGATTTACAGTCGGGAAAACTGATTTCAAAATTGGCAGACAGTCCACTAGGTGCAATAGTTACTCACGCTTGCATCACGCATAATGGCAAGTATGTGAATTCCATAAATAAGTTATGTTTGACTAGATTTACTACAGATTAAAAGATAATACAAATTTGTATAGATGTATAATATCTACGGAGTCAGGTAATGTCCTTATATGGAATAGGATTACAGAACAAGTTCTGTTTAAAGAAGAACAGCCAGGTATCAGACAACTTAGTTTAATACAAGACACTTCTAAGTTCTTGACGGTATCTAGACCAAGTAATCCTCCAGGAGTTGAGAGTGTTCGAACAACAGCAACTCTTGTTGTTAGAAACATTCCAGGTTTGCACAGTTTTTAAAACCAAAAAATTCACAACATACTAATGTGTCACTTTTATAGATGGTATAACAATATTTTCCTTGGAGTACCCTGTGAGAAGTCATACTGGAACACCCTTTAGACAAGTTGTAGTTACATCGGATGAATCACATTTAGCTGTTCCAGCAGCTGACAAGGGTAATAGAGATTGTGTAATAATTTACAGTGCAAAAACAGGTTTGCTGATCAGCAAGTTATCGATAAAAATACCTGGATTTAAAGTAAGGAACAGGAAAATTGTGTAATAAGTTGTGTTGTATTAATGATATTACCAGTACTTTATATTTGATCTGATGTGACAGGATATTGTTAGCATTGTTCCTATGCCAAATCGAGCTCAGTGGATTGGCATAATAGGCTCTGACAAAGGCAGTATTATGGATATAAATAAGAAGAAAATAGTCCGGTCTATACCAAAATGGAGTGGAAATATGAGTAAGGATGGAAAATACACTTTGTATGCTCCTAGTAGGCAAGTACATAAAATTTAGATTCTATTAATTCTGCTGACAAAAAATTAAATATAAATATTCATTGCCTTAACAAATCTCATCTATTGCATTTTTATAACAGGGGTGGACTTGAGCTTATTGAATTAAAAAAGGGTACTACAGTGAAAACATATATTCCCAAAGTTGCAGAGGGTGTATTCACTGTAATTTGTATGTTTAACCGTACTGATGAATATGTATTATATTATCACAGTGGCAGAAAGACTATAAGAGTTTTTCGGTACTGGAAATATTTCAACTAAAGTCATCATTCGATATCAGACGCGTTTATTGATAGATAAATCCCTTATAGTAAACATGGAAAAATATTCTCTTATTATATGGACCATAATGCATCAATCTACCTGTCTGATTTCGGATGACAACTATAAACATAAGTCCGTATTCATAACTCGCTCTTAAAGTCACTAACAGAGTCGCTTGTAGTTAAAAGTCACTAAGAAAAAATTTAAAAGCGCGCTATTAGCACTAAAAGCAAGTTCTGAATACGGGCTATAGACATTATCATAAACACAGTAAGCATCAATGCTACCATTATAGGGCATCGGACTGTGAAATGATAGCAAACTACAGAGTTCAGGCAGAACTCAGTGCTATAGACAGTACATATGATGGTAAAGGTATTGTTTTAGGTACTGTTGATGGTTGCGTATCAGTCTTAGCTATAGCAGATCCTCAAAAATCTGATATGAAGGATTATCTGGCAAATCTGCCTTCAAGAGATGAACAGGTAATCAACCAATTTTAAATACATTATAACGAAACCAATTAGTAGAACATAAACAAAGTGATAACTATATATAATTTTAGCAGTCTTGCTAAAAAATTTAGTTATTAAAAACGATTGAGTAATCATGAATTTCAGAATGTTTCCTTCAATACAAAATTAAAGGTTAGGGCGCATTTTTCCAGTGTGTAATACACATAAAGTAGACAATATATCTTATATAAGGATTTGTACGTAAGTACTGCACGACAATTAAGTGATAATTAATCATGATATGATTATTGATCAAATCATAGCAAGCAAAAATTAACTCACCAGCATAATGGTTAGAATCTCGTGGATAGATTGAGGCTACTGTTCTTCCATATGCAGTACACTTATTCTCCGTAATGTCACATTTTTATCAAGAGTTAAAACGCGCACGTAATATACACTATTCTATTAGAAACAAAATCTTTCGGAGAAATGGTAAAATTTCAATACGCAATGTCAAACTTAAAACATTCGACAATCGCGGACCGGCAAATTTGCGTTTTATTATCGTTTATACAGTTCGCATTACACATAGGGACCCTAGACCAGTCTCACTACTCCTGCCATAGTTCAACATAATGCGCGAAATTTAAAATAACGAAAAATAACTTTAATTATCGTGCAATTTCAGTGGAAAAAGAAAATGGAAAAACAAAGAGCTGCCACAAAATTCAAAGCAGCAGCACGAATTGCGCGTGTAACACAGGATCTGGCAAAGACTGTAAGAAACGTAAATGCCATTTCGGAGGTCGCAGAAGAAACGGATGAGGAAGCAGAGTAAATAAGTTTCTTTCGAAATAAATGTCACCGAGGGAATACTGGTAAAGAGTATTAGTCCTCGTGTATTCTGTTTCTAAAATTAAACTTATGATAGATCGGCCCCCTCCAAAACTTCGATCTACTCCGGATTCAATCATATTTTCGGTGCCTACTAGGCTCGGTAACTGTTAGACAGAAAATTCCATAAGGCGAGGATCTTTTACTAGTCGTTTGTCGGTGTAACTACTTTAACGGTAGAACGATTAATAGACTATTAATATATGTATAATAACTGTCTGTATTAATATATAATACATATGTACGTACGGCATATAAAGCATGTAACCAGAAATACTTTACAATGAACTAAAAAATAAGCAAACAGCAAAGATGAGTTTTAAAGGGTAAGTTATAGAGACGAGATTATGGAATTTATATTATATTTATTTGTGTCTTTTCATGGAGATGTTCTTTATAATCTTTCAATCCCTTCGGCAGGCGCAAGGCGCGTTCGGGCGACACGAGGCGCACATGCAGTAGTATATCTCTAAATTACACGGGATCAAAACGTACTGTGTAACCCTCACGTGAGCCAAGCGATTATTCTATTTATTCAAAAGACACTTGTTATTATTTATATATTCATTTCAGCATGCGTGAGGATAAGCTCTATTGTCGTTCTACACGTGTTACCTCGCACTCGAACACGCCTCGCGCGATAACATTTCGCGTCTCGCGCAGTAGCCTTGCCATTCATTCGATCTATCACTTTACCATCCTATCAACATATACCATTTTACTTCTCCCCACTGCCATGATTCACTAGATACTCCGTCTCTCTCTCTTTCTCTCTCTCTCACACACTTCCTTTCTTTTTTGGGTATATCCTTATTAAATACCCTTGCACCGTTACCCATCCTGCATACGTTGAGAAGCATTAAATCTCAAGTATCTTTCATAAACAAGTGAATAGGTGACTTGAAGAGATTCGACCGCTTAATTTCTAGATCGTGGATCATTGATCGTTATGCCGCGGTAACGGCAGCCGTGTACACTCATCAGAGAGACGCTATCAGAAAGCGAAGATGACCAAGATTCCCGCGAGCAACTATAACGAAACCATTTAACAATCTCGTGCTGCGAGATGTGCGAGAAATTCGAGCCGCTTCATACGGGACAATTGGTGGTTTTCATTCGCGTATATCGTAATCGTCTTCACGCCCTGATTATTCACGTCCGATTGATTCGAAAAACCTGCATAACGCATTCGTAACAATATACAATTAAAAACTAGTGTGCACGCAGACATACGATCCTTATACCGATGAATCCATATTGGTGAATCCGACGAACCTTTAAAATAAGGATCGATTCTCGGGTATTTGTTATTTTTTATTTTGTCGATTCTTTCTTGTTTTCGTTATTAAGTCGTACCAGTCAACTATGAAATATGTTGTGGTCTCTTGGACAATATCGACTGAACTGTATTACAGAATAATACTATCTTGCAAATTCATTTTTTTTTCCATCACATTCTCTGTTTCGGTTGGGCGTTTAGCACGATACACTCATCTAATTCTTTTTATATTGGATGCATTTCTGTTATTCATATTTGCACTTCCTATTCGAATGAACTTCTGGACACAGTTTGTCCCTCCCACCTGTCCCATTCTTGCCTACCAACCTTACCCCATTACATCCCATCCCATCAAATTTCGCCTCCATGCCCTCTTTTCTCAACATCTTTGCCTCCTCAAAATTATTTCAGCTCTCCTTTGCCCGTATTTTCATTTATTAACAGTGACCCTTTAGATTTTTATTGCGCGCTGCTACCTTTCTGCGTCTGTCGCTGGACTTGCGACGGTTGTTGCTGCGTTTCCGCTGCGGCAGTATCTTTCATGTGTTTTTCCACCTAGAACAAAAAATGTGAAATTTCTTGGATGATAGCTCATAAAATAACAGCGAATAGATACTAACCACTTTTTTCACGTGAGTATATGCTTTAGAGTCCTTATCACCCTGGACATTTTCAACTTTGTATGGTGGTATTATAGTGACATTGTCCCAAACTACAATGTTTGGGCCGTTCCACGTTATCTCTTGGATTGTTTTGGAAATAGCAATGAACAGTTTCTGACCCTCAGGAGATACTCCAGCCTGCAGAGCTTTTACCATCCTCTTCTTCTCCTCAATCTGATTACGTACCCGTGTATTTAGCCTTTGTAAATTAAGGCTCTGTGGTGGTTCATTCGATGTGGGACTAACTTCCCTTTTTACTTGGACGTCAGACACCAAGGATAAATTTACTATGTGCACATCGTTCAGTGATGCTCTCCCACTAGATGATGGACATTCTAAGAATATCCCATTAAGGACAAATTATTGTAAATATTTAACATATTTATCTATGACCATGCTCCTCATACAGTTCAAAAATAGCTTATGATATGTAAATAGACTGTTCATAGTATCCAAAAAAATCTACTATCCTATTACCTTTAACTTACTTATAATATCAAATCAATCCGGTCAGAACCTAATTAAAATAATATAATAAATAATTTGTTTAGAAATATATGAACAAGTGTAACCGACGCCTCACAAGCCTTAACACTATACACAGTGTGGTTAATCGGCTGACGAAACTAACCTGACTTCGATTATAGAACGTGTGTAACATAACAAACGACAGATAGTCGTAAAAAAATTATGACAGAAAATCACAATAACCTGATATAATGAAAGCAATTAATGAACCAAGGAATTACAGGCTCTCCAAACAATAGTTATTTACACCCGTAGTACCCTGGTGGTGTCGGGTACACTATAGGGAGGTCGCCCGTAGAAAGACTTGCGGTCAAACGATTCATGCGAATACGTGTCAAAAGGATACTTAAAATCAGCATTTTTGTTTGTGGATCGAACGCCAATACTTCACCCTCGATTTCCTTGTTGTAACATGTCTTACAAGCCACCGTACTCCCAATGCTGAAGCAATCGCTAACGCCGGCCATTTTTGACTACAGAATCTAGCACACGCTATCGCCACCTGTCGGAACCACAGTCGTTGCAAGGGCTCATTCAGACCGAAAGCAGCGGGAAGCGAGAAGCGAACAGCTGAATCTTAGCTGTGAAAATACATTTTCTGTCTTTTTATGTTAGGTAGTCGTATGAAAATACGAAGAAAAAAGTTATTTTATCTTCATTAAGTGTATGGAGTCATGTATACTACATTAAAAATAGTAATATATAATTTCTCTTAAACCATAACTTCATTACTAAGTAGATTCCAATGCTTGGACTGCGATTTTGGTAAGTTGAACCGTTGGTTGAACAACGTTCAACTTTTCATAGCAGCGACATAGTAAAAAGATGATGGCAACTCTACTTCACGTCATAGTTCATGTTTGAAATAAATTTTGAATTCGGCATCAGACCAAGGGGCGGTCGTAGCATTTCCGTGAACCTGGCCGGCGCACTTTGACTTTTTGAACTTTTTCTTTGGCAGATCATTTCTAGATTGTTTGTAGGTATTTGTAGGATTAATTAAAACGTTTGTCGGTTAACGGTTAATTAAAAAAATAAAAAATAAAAATGTACATTAAGTTGGCCGTCATTTTTTAATTTTTTTATCTATCTTTGTTTTTCACGTGGCCAATCGATACGGAATCGTTTGTAGGTCACAGATAATCCAATTAGTATATTTGACGAATCGTTATTTCAATAAAATAAGCAAAAAACGTATTTGGTGCATTTTACGTGGGACGGTCATATGACCACGGGAAGTTGACCACAAAAGTCGTAAATAATGATAAATGTTTATTTAATTGGTACTTAATCGATTCGAAATCGTTTGTACGTTACAGATAAAGTGATTAGAACGTGTATCGCTAACTGGTGCGAAAAATAAATGTAAATGACCGGATCGTCCCCGGTGCCGGCAGCGATAATTGATGTCTGCAAGAAAATATTTTGGCAGAAAAATGTCTTATTTGCAAATACCACTAAAGTATAAAAACTGTCATAAGTTTTCGTAATTTAATTGCAATCATATGACCGTCCCGCATAAAATTCACCAAATACGTTTTTTGCTTATTTTATTGAAATAACGATCCGACAAACATTCTAATTGGATTATCTGTGACCTACAAATAATTCCGCATCGATGGCCACGTGAAAAACAAAGATAGGTAAAAAATAAAAAAATTACGGCCAACTTAATGCAAATTTTTATTTTTGATTTTTTAAATAAACCGTTAACCGACAAACGTTTTGATTAATCCCAAAAATCCCTACAAATGCCCAGCAAACGATTTGTAAAAGAAAAATTTCAAAAAGTTAAAGTCCGCCGTCCAGATTCACGGAGGTGGTTATAGCCCAGTGGTTAGGGTAGCGGATTCACGACCGAAAGCAGAGAACATATATTATATGGAAGTGTACGTCCCGTGTTAACATTTGGCAGAGAAAAAGTAATTTCACTTTTCTCCGGTAGATGCCGCGGCGGTGTATCAGTGTGCCACGCGCATGTAAGAGCAGAGATGAGTAGGGAGATTGCCAATGAGCCTGTTTTTGGTGGTCTCAATTTTTCTCTGGTTTCGGCACGCCACCTTAGCGGAGGGCCCTCGAAGCAGTTCCACGTTTTTGATTGGTCGTGTATATATAATAATACTACGCGTGATAATCTGGAGCTGTGTTTTGGCGCGTCGACGCGCCACCTGAACGAGACTCTCGAACTAGTTCCACGTTTTTGATTGGTCGAAAGAATTCGTGTGTTCCTTGAGATCCACGATTTTTAACCGGGTGAACACTCAAATAGGGAGACTTGTATCCACCTTTTTTTTTACAGGATATTACATAAACCGTAGTAATGAGGTAGTAAATTTTGCCGATGTTAATTCCCTTAATATCCATATAAAGCTTTGTAAATAATAGAGTGAGCAAATAAAACTTTAAACAAACCGAGTCACGAGTTCGGAACTCACGTCTCAACCCTTTTTTTTTTTCTTAATTATCAACTATTCTTATTGGTTTACCTAGTTAACTTAAGATTCATTAAATATATGATTATATTAATCTACAAATATTGTATTATATTACATCGTATAAATGCAATAAGTGGTACATAAAATAATAAATGGTACATAAATAATAAATAAATTGGTACATAAAACAGTGAACGTTTCTTCTTCTCGAGAGCCTACCTGTGACAAACACCTATGTCACGCTGTTTCATGTTTTAATAGCATAAATAAGATTTAGA